ATTTTCTCCCCCGCCTTTTCCTGTGGCTTCTGCCAAACAATGAAAAGTCTCTGCCATTCTAGTTCTTTTGTGGATAACTTTTGTGATCACAGTTACGTTTTTCTCTTTACTTTTGACAATCAATGCTTTTATAATAGTCTTTAATCTCCATAGTTTAGTTATCCATTATTGTGTAATAAATCATACAAAAGCTAGATGGCCAAAGACAACAGTGACCACCCCATCATTGCTAAGTATCAAAAACCCAAGCATGGCTTTACTGGGCCACTCTGGATAGACATTGGCTACTTCTACACTTTTCTGGAAGTTCGGCAAGGTTGCAGGAACCACCCCAAATATGGCATGCCCGAAGGTTGGTTCACGTTGATGCAGCCTGGTAACAAGCCGCAGTGCTTCCTCACGTGGGTCCCTCCACAGGGCTGCTTGAGTATCCCCACAACATGGCATCTTGCTTGCTCCAGGGCTTCCCTGAGACCTAATGGAGAACAGGAAGAATTTACTTGGTGTATTTTGTGCACACACAGCCACTTCATATTTGTGAGAAGTGCGCCATTACATTGAACCCACTCTTTAAGGAGAGGAGCCAAACACTGTTTTTCTTAGGGAGGATTTGTGGACACATTTTCAAACCGTAAACGTCAGATTATTTTTACTAATCCTCCTATACATTCATTTCCAAAGTGGGTTATAGTTTCACTCCCTTTGGAAACAGGAGAGTTTTCAAATACTTCTGCTAAATACAGATCTCTTGGACCTAGGCAAAAACTTCTGATTGAGCAATTTGGGTTGTACCACCAACACTGAGTTGCTTTTAAGCCTCACAAATGATTCTAATGAATTTTGAGTTTTGAAGATCAGTTCTTCAATGCATCCAGGGATTCAGGTGTTTCTTCAGGTAGGGAAAATTCCAAGCATTATCCCTTCACACTCCGCTCCTCTGCCCTTCCTGGTTCTAAATCTCTCAAGTTCTGATAACATCCAGGGAACCTCTAGATTTCTTCTCTATGTATTAACATATTTGTGTTTTGCTCTCTTGCTCTTTGGACTGAGGATTGTGTGATCTCTTTAAGTACCAACTTCCTATTCACTGATTCTTCATTTGACTCTATCTACGTTTGAGTTTATCATGTGTTGTATGGATGTCAGTTTGTTATTCCATTTTGAATTTGTAGCATTTTCATTTTCTTCAGGATTACTCATTTGTGTTTTAATTTTGCTTATGTTCTTAGTACTGTTGTTTATTTTTTGAGGTTCTTTTAAGTCTTTTTTTTTAATTTATTGATTTTGTGTGCATATCATACAGAACATCCCACACAATCTTCTTCATCTATATACCCACTTCCCAAATGGCACCCTCCCATAGCCTCCCCACTCCCACACACTGGAGCCCATATACTCTGTCATCCCTGTTACTGTCCACCGTGTTTTCGAGACCCCCAGCCATTCCCCAATGCTTCTCTGTCTGCCGAATCTAGTCAGCCTATCTAGAGATCCTTGTTTTAGGAAGGTCAGCTGTTCCTCATCTAGCAACAATCAGTTGTCAATATTCCTTTAGATAAGATTGGGGTCTGCTGTTCATTTTCCCAGATCTATGCTGGGTTTTTTGAGGTTCTTACACCATCTTTTTAATATGACTTTATATTTTTCCAGAATAAAGTAGTTGCTCAGTTACTGAATTGGTCAGATTTCTTAGCATTTTCATTCTCAATTTCCTATGAAATTATGAGTTGTCACTGTAAATTATCCTTTGTTTAAAATAATTTTTCCCTTTTCCAGTAATGTTGCCTTCAGGAAACCTTCCAGTTCCTTCTTTTGAATAAAGGTGCTATGAATAAAATTTATGGCTCCAGTCTGAAACGTTTTGGAGTCCAATCCAGATTTAGTCACAAAGAAGAGTCGAATTCTGGCTACAATACCATCCATGCTCCTCCCCCCCTTTTATGAGGACACCTCACCCTTGTCTTTGTTTTGAAGCACTGAGCCATTCTTCTCTAACCTCAGGTGCACACTGCTAGGGAAACCTCTCTTCCCTGTTCAGAGAATGGGGACTAGGTGGTTCCTGCTTACCTACTGTGGTTTTGTTCATTTTCTTCTTCACTGAAATATTCATTTGTGTTTGAACATGACTTTTTTTTTTTTTTTTTTTTTTTTTTTTTAAAAAAAAAAAAAAAAAAAAAAAAAAAAAGAGGACGATAAATCTTTCACTGTGATATATCAAAATAA